TTTCCTTTCCTTTCCTTTCCTTTCCTTTCCTTTCTTTTTTATTTTTTTTTTTTTTAAGTTGGAAAGAGTCTGTCTGAGTTCCTTTATGCTTTTCAGGCTCAGGGATGAGAGAGAGTGTGTGTACGTGTGCACGTCTATGCCCATACAGTCACTCAAGTGGGAAAAAACCCCGTTTGCAGTTCACACAGAAGGAATTTCTGACAGAGACAACAGCGCTAAGCAGAAAGGCACATCCTGATCTCTGGCAAGTGAGGGGCAAGCTGGCGGACACACGCACACAACACATACTCTCCAGGCGCTCTGCATAATATGTGCAAAGCGCTGCCCTTTAATGAACGTAACCTATGGTGGCTGGGATGCAGCCGGCCAGACCTCACCATTAATAAACTGGGAACATTCTTCTCCTTTTTAGTCCCTTTCAATGCCAGCCCTGCGTTTTGATCTCCCTTGAATGCTGCTCCCCCTCATTTGGGGCTCCAATTCTGAGAAGATTTGGCGCATTGTTTGAGGTCGCAGGATGTCGGATTGATTTCGGAGCTTTTGTATTGACTCTGGGCTCCTGAATGAAGCTGTCATGTGTGTCTGTGGTTGGCTAGCAGGCTGTCCGGCTGCAAGCTGTGCCTTCCTTTGTTGTTTAGGCCTCATTGAGCTGAGGGAAGAGGCTCATTTCAGGGTGATTTACCACCACCCAAACACCAGCTGTCTGTTGTACTGCTGCTTGCCTCCACCTTGGATTCAGTTCTTGTTTCCCTTCCTTTCTCCCCTTCTTTCCCACTCTACCACTGTAGGCACTTTGGTACTTGTTCTTCAAAATGTGTGGATCACCCTGACAGAGCAGCAAAAAAACCATAACAAACACTGAATGTGTTGTTCTTCCTAATGGTGTTTATGCAGCCGTGGGGATTTTTAGAGTTTGCTGTTGCAGTGCAAAGAATGATATCCCACATTGGAAGAGATTCACAAGGATCATTGTGTCCAGCTCCTGGCCCTGCACAGGATAGCCCCAAGGATCACACTGCCTAAGAACATTGTCCAAATGCTTTCTGGATTCTGGCAGACTTGAGGCCTTCTCTGGGGTGGTTCCAGTGCCTAACCACCCTCTGAGTCGTTCTGCCAGCTCCCTGGGGAAAAAGCTGCTTCCAGTATTTTCTATTGCTGTTGCTTAAAAGAGAGAAAGGCTAATGAAAACCAATCAGGTTAGAGCCCAGCTGGACCTTTCAGCTTCTTCAAGGTGTATGGCACAGGGCTAAGACAAGCCCACCACTATAGCTGAGCTTTCCAGCCACAGACTTGGAAGACAGGATCCTACTGTTAATCCCAGCTAGCAACTCCAGAGCAGAGAGCCTGGCAGCTCCCTGGAGGCTGGCCAGTGCCATGTGCTTCGTGTCTGACTCCTTTAAGCGGAGCTGGCAGCTCCACACGGGATGGCTCTGGGCAACGCCGCAGTGATTTGTGTGTGCCCTGTGCCTCCCCTGGAGCTGCTGGCGTGAAATGAGTTGTGACCGACCCTCATTTGACTTCTGGGTGATGCAGTTCAGTTTTTCTCAACCACAGGCTGTTAAAACTGGCAACTGCTCAGCTCCTGTCACCCGTGCAGCTGAGATAATTAAGCCTTGTTACTATTATTATGGGGTTTTTTTGGTTTGTTTTTTTTTTTTTTTTTTTTTACTTTTCTGCAAACTTTGGCTGACTGCTGGAGCCCATGGTGCAAGGAGGTGGGTGAGGCCAGCCAGATTCCCTATAAGAGGCAGGATAATAGGACATATGTCAAGGAGCCTTCTTGTTCTTTTGCCTTGAGAAGGATGATGTCTGGCAGTGGATGTGAGTCAGCAGAAGGCAAAGCGATCTTCCCTGTTGGAAAACCTTGTGCCTACCTACTTCTAAACAATAGTACCTCATGTTATTCAAAGTCCAGGAATCATAGAAATAATTCTCAATTAATTAAGACCAAACATCTATACCCAGTCAGATGAGGCTCCTCTTTTTGTGGTGTTCTCTCATTCCCTGTGACCACCAAGCACTGCTGGACAAAGAAAGGAGGGAAATATTAGGAGGCAGCCACCACAGCAGGATAGCTTTAGTGAGGTGTTTTAATTTTTAACAAACTCCTTGGGCACTAGAAACTGTAAAATAACATACAAATAAACAAACAAAAACTCACTAACCCTTAGCACCCTGTAGGGCTCGGTTTCAGATCGCTGAATAAAAGCTGAAGTTGCACATGCATGTTTAATGTAACACAAGGCGTGTGCTGTTGAAAAGCATGCTTTCGTCTAATCTGGTTCCAGACAGAAGCATCCAAACAGAAGCCCCTTTCCCTATCCCCACTGAACTGCTTGGTGTATGTGCGGAAACCCCTGAATGACAAGGCCTCCATCTGCTCTGGAACAGAGCTGCGACTGGCTGCAAATGTTGTCCATATGCTTTTTTTTTTTCCTCTTTTGCCTTTCAACTTAGCTGCCTAATGTTAGACACCTATCTGCAAATTAATCATCTGCTCATAAGGAGTTTTCCTAAAATAAGGTGGAAGTAGTAGCTCATTCATCCAATGCACTTTAAGCAAGGTGCATCTGCAGCTGGAAAAGGAGGTGGGATTATTTATCCAGTGCATTGCTTTCATTTAGCTTTTCTTAGGGAATTGAAGGGCCCCTTCATTCTTGTAGTGTCAGAGGAAAATACAAAAAACTCTCAAGTTTTGGATTCATATTTCCATTGTACTCTTGATTTTCGAGGTTGTTATGGGTAACATCTTGTGATTTCTCTCTGTTAAATAAAACTGGTGATACTTCCATTTGGACAGGAGAACATGGCCACGGTTTGCCATGAGCTCAGGTGGCATTAGAGCCATAGAAGGGTCTAAAAATGGGAGTTTTTTTCCTTGGCTTGTGGTTGAAAAAGGGTTGGATTATCTTATTGGACGTAACGACTTTGCAATGGACAGTGGGACAAGCCGAGTATCAATGAGACATATGTGCATATAGTTTCCTAACAACAAGTGTATATTTATGCTATAGCCACCCCAAGGTATCCAGTGGCCTTTTGGGAAATGTGTGAGTCTTTCCTAGGTCTTTTTATAGTTCTAATTTGTCTCATGTGCTTTGGAGTATCTAGAAAGTTAGACAAAGGGATCTCTCCCAGTGCCTCAGTTTCCTATCTCTAACACAGCATTTTAATACACTTGCTTTTACTTATAGTTTAAGCACTTCTTTCTGAGAAAAAAAAAAAAAAAACAACTTTAATAGATTACAGACCAATTGTTGAAGGATTGCAATAATGGGGCAAGAGTGAAATGCCTTTGACAGATGGCAGTCACAGGCAGAGGAGGCCAGTTGGAAGAAGCCCCCTGAAAACCTCAGAGTTTGAGAGTTTGTAATCAGCAGCCCAAACATGAGGCATTTTGGGCAGTTATCAGATTAGATATCAGTACAACCTTTTCAGTGTCATAGTTTTTTCCCAGCTTCTCTTTTGGAAAGAGAAAAAAAGATAATTTCTGCACATTATCTGACCTTGCTGAAATTTATGAGATGCTGAGCTCACCAAGAAAGCGACCTCTGCACACCTGGCAGGTTGCATACTCTCCCAAGGTGACCAAAAGTTTATCTGCCTGTTTTTAATTCCTGCCACAAAGGGTCATCTCTCTACTGTGCCCTGACATTGAACAATGGCTGCAATTCCTTTTAATCGTGCCCTTTCCCTTCCTCATCATTTAGGGCAGAGCACTTCCACTTGGCCAAACTTGCTAACTGTTTTGGGATCTCCTTTTCTATATAAATTAATCCAGCTGAAATCTTATGATTGTACATGAGCAGATTCTCCCTGTGTTCCCCAGCAGATGCCAAGAGTGTTTATTTTTCAGCTGTGGACAGCAAAATTCTGGAAGTAGGCAATGTCTTTGTTTGCATGCCTATGGAAAAATAAGTAATTGTGATAATTTGTAGGGACTTCACTGGCTCTTTCTGACTCCATGCAGTTTTAATTCAAGCAGCATTTTCACCAAGTCTGGAATCCCAACTCCTTTCTGCCATGATGATTTATCAAGACGTCCAGATTTGATAAGGAACAAAAAATACTTTAGTGAAGAACCAAAGTGACTCAAATAACCCCCAGAAAAGAACACTGTTAACATTCAGTCAGTCTGATGCTGCTTGGATCACATTCAGTCAGTCTGATAGATTTTAAACAAAAATAAAGGCGTCTGAGGTCAGCTTCTCTCACAGACTATTGGTTGCAGGTAAAAAGAGAGTGAGTGGACTCTATTTCTTTGCAAATCTCTGTTGGTTTGAGCATCAATCCCTGGAAGCATCCAAGCCCAGATTAGAGGGAACTTGCAGGAACCTGGTCTAGGGAAATATGTCCCTGCCCATGGCAGGGGGTGGAACAGGGTGATCTCTAAGTTCTCTTCCAACCGAAATGTTCTATGATTCTATGTCACAGACATTGCAGACTCTGTACTAGCAGTGTGAGGTGAGAATGTCCTCTTGGATTCTTGGCATGGGTTTAGCAGGGGTGATGTGGACCCGTTGTTCTACTGAGAGCACGTCTTTCCTGAAGATTTTATTTCACCAAATCTGGGCACGTTAGAAGCAAGTAGGTATTAACTTGGTAAAAGTGAAGAGAAAAAGTAGTGTATGAGCTTTTCCTCAAGTCTCTGCTGTTTGGTATTTGTTCTGGGTGGGCATGCTAGACATGTTCCTGTTCATGCAAGTGTATGAAAGCCATAAGTTAAAATAATGTGCTTCTTTTTAGCTTTGCTTTCCCACTTTCTTTTTCCACACACCTTGTCTTCCTTCTGCCTCTGACTTCCATACCGTTGGGATATTATCCTTTGGTGAAGTCTTCTTGGCAGATTGGGAGCTCCCTCTCTGTGAAAATGAACCTCCCAGCAGCACAGGAAGAGTCCACAGGCTTCCCTAATGCCCTTTTTTCCCCTACAAATACAAGCCTCTTGGTCTTCAGTGGTTCAGATTGTGCTGATGTTTTTCCTTCCTTATCTCTTATAGGGAAAAGTCATTGGAGATGCAAAACTGCTTATGAGTTGTGGTTGCAGAAAAGGGAAAAATTCTCAAGTGAAAGACTCAGATCAGGTCAGTCAATATGTACCTTAACTGGTGAAATCTAAGAATGTCTTAACATCTGGTGGGTTTGATCTGTGTTGTTGCATATCAGAATTCCTGGACACAAACAGAATCCTTGGCATGATTGACAATGGTACAACATTAATATTTTTGTGTTTCTTACTTGTAGAAAAACCCTCAAGCAAGATTGGGGATTCATTGCACTAGGAGATGTTAATTCCCTAGCCTGGCTTATTCCCATCTGGTTTACTTATTCATTAATTCTGTTTCTTTATAAGAATCCACTCCAGGCAATGCCTTTCTTAAAGATTATTGCATTTCCTTGCTGGCTAAATGCAAGAAACCTTTGGTCTCCTACTGTAGCTGCCTGGTTGGGTGGTAGTTCATCGCACGCTTTTGTTCTGAAGTGACACCATCACAAGGACATTCTTTATTGGGGTTCCTTATGACATTTGTTCACAAACCAATGGCTAGGTTTCAATATTCATTACTTAGAATGAATGGCCCCTTATTCAAAAATTGGTCAAATTGATATTGGTGGGATCACTGGTAGGGTTCAGTAATTGCAATTGGACTGTGCTTGGAATAACAGCCAGCTGGTGATCTCTTCCTTCCCCCTACCACTTAGCACTTACTCAGACTAGCCAAGTTCATCCCTGACAATTTTTTTTTAGTTCTTATGGCCTCCTGTCTTTGTTGCTAAAGATGAGCCTGAATCAGGAGACCATTTTTTCCAAAGATGAAACACAATTTGGTTTGAGCAAACATTTTATAAAATCAGGTCACCCAATGTTACATGTGGAAGAGTGAAGAAGGTGGTCTCAATTACCAAATATCTTTGCTCTCTAATGTATCTTGTGGACAGCCTGTGACTGAGTTTAGACCTGAGGCAGATTGAAACCCTGTTCATGAAGCTCCAGAAACTCCTGATAGTTTCCTGAAGGGAAAATATATGAATTCTCAGGAAGAAAAGTGGTTTTTATCTTCAACCTGCATGTTCATCAACTTTAATTAATAATAGTGTTTCAAAGCCCGGTTTTGTTAATGTTTGAGATTTGAGAACAGTTCTATCTTTTCTATAAACCTACCATCCATCCATGTATCTGTTCTGCAGTATTTTCTGTTATGAGGAATGTTGTTTGCACTTACAAATTCTTTCTAGAATTAAGTCTTTCACTGGTTTGCTTTATTTTGCTTGGGTGCTTTTATTAGAATTTTCAAATTAAGAAATTAATTGTCATGAGCTATATTGTCAATTTACCATCAAGACAAGGATTCATATTAGTTTTCTTTAAAAGACTAGCTTCCAATTCTCTCAATGCAAGTTTAATATTCTCATTTTCAGGTTCTAACACACCAGGGGAAAATCAATTTAGAAATAAACACTCTTACTAATCTTAGTATTTTGTATTTTTATGTACTCTGGTTGAATTACTTTAAAGGGAACCAGAACACCATTACAGCACTGGAAGCATAGATTAGAAATAAAGTTAGAACATTTTGATTGCAGAGAGGTTTTACAAAGCACTGTCTCTAGCAAACCCTGGATAGTAAACCTCTATTGCTTAGTTTTTGTTATTTTGTTTGTTTGTTTGTTTGTTTTTTGTTTTTGTTTTACATTTAATTTTTCTTTAGGGGTTCTTTTGTTCGGGGGAAACTCTTTTGGAGTGGTTTTGTGGTTTGTGTTAGGAAAAGGAGATGCACCAGACTTTTTTGGTCTTTATCTTTTTGTTTATTGTTATCTTATTTAAAGTTCTGCACGCCATCTATGCCAGACTCTGCACACTAGAAAAGCACCATAAAAATGGCCAGCAATCTCTTGTTACAAAGTCTTTTAAGACCAAGCTATCCAATTCAGAAATGACACCTGGATTATTTTCCCTTTTAACTCAATAACTGATCCCTCAAAGCCTGCAATGAGGATTGTTCTACCCAATTACAAGACATCACCCAAACCCATGAAGAAGAAGGAAGAAGAAGGTAAAGAAGAACCTGCCTCCTCCCTAAAACTTCCATCTTGTTCCCATCTATAACATACTAAAAATCCTAAAACTTAAATTTCTTACCCAAGTGATATGCTATACTGCTCTTTATAATCTTTTTCACATTTTTGTGGACTCTAGTTTATCTTGAAATCTTGGAAGCTTTCTCTATGAATGAGGGTCAAAGTCAGTGCTTCTCTGGAGGCCAGGTCTTCTCAGAGCAGACAGAGAAATATTTCCTGTGCCCTGGGTTCCCACATACCTCAAACTCACAAAAGGCTATATTTTAATTAGAGTGTAGACAACAGTTTTCAGAGGGGAAAAACTATCCCATTCTCTTTGATGGTTTCTGAAGAGTGATAAAATATTTTTTGCATTCAGTTGCTTCCTGAAATCTAATTTTTGATGCCTGATGATGCGTTGACCATATCAGTACCTCTTTATTTGCTGTATCAACATAAACTATTGGGCAAGTGCTTGCTTCAGAGGCTGTAAAGCTTGTTCGTCATGCTCCTGGAAGGGTCCTGTCTATATTTCAGGGGATAGGAGGTAGATGGGGAGGAAACTAGTACAGGAGGGTGGGTGGCAGTGTGGAACATTTGTCTGTGAATGCAGGACCTCAGCTCAGCTTATAAATTATCCCCTGGGCCTTGTAGATAAACACAGACTTCTATGGTGACGTTGACTGGGAAAGGCAAACACTTGCTGATGATTGTAGGCTAATCCTCCAGGACACTAATTACCAGAAAACCAAGGAAGCATTTTTTTAGGAACAGCTTACTTCACTTTGTGAAGGGAAAAAACAGTGCACTGTATTTAGTTTTGTTTGCAGAGCTCTACCCTTGCCTCCTGCACCCTGTCTCAGATTTTAATTTTAAGATTTAATTTAATTTTAAGATTTACCTCCCTTATTGTTATTGTTGTTGGGGTCATTTTTATTTTTCTTTTTTCTTTTTTTTTTTTTCCCTATGTTGCTTTGTGTTTCACTCTGGTGTCTCTGTAAAGTTGTATGAAAATGAAACTTAGTTTTTATTTGCATGAAGGTATGCATAAATATGTATGTGGTTTTTATACCATTAGCTATTTAAAGCTTTGGTTTTAAAGTTACCAACTACTCTTCAGCTGAATGTTTTGTGAAAGGTGATGTTTTGCAAAGAGATGATTTTTCTTTCATTCCTTCAAGTTAATTAGGAAACTGACAAAAAGTCCTAAGCACACACTGCCCTGGCTGAAGCAAATCATAACCTCATTGCCAAGGATTTAATTTACCATCATTTCTGATTTCAGGCTGGAAAAGAGGAGACTTAGGGGAGACCTCATTGCAGTTACAACTTCCTTGTGAGGGGAAGAGGAGGGACAGACACTGATCTCTTCATTCTTGTGAGCAGCAGGACTTGAGTAAACAGCATGAAGATGGATCAGAGGGGATTTAGGTTGGATATCAGGAAAGGGTTCTTCCCCCACAGGCTGCTGGGCACTGCTCAGGCTCCCTAGGGAATGGCCAGAGCCCTGAGGCTGCCAGAGCTCTATGAGCATTTATCCACCACTCTCAGGGACACACAGGGTGGATTTTTGGGGTGTCTGTGCAGGGCTAAGAGTTGCACTTGATGATCTTAGTGGAACCCTTTCAACTCAGAATATTCTGTGATTCTCCAAGATGCCTCTAGAAGAAATGGCACTTCTTGACTTGAGCCCTGCTTCCCTCAGTTTGTCAAAGACCCCAAGTCTCTGCATGATATTTTCCATGTTTCAAGTCACCAGTGTTTAAAATCTGGACCTGTCAAGCACAGAAGTCCACACGGGCTTACACAGGGCTGGGATTTCACAACAGGCACAAGGAACCCAACCTTCCTGTTGGATTTGCACCAGAACAGGAGAGGGACTGGTGGTCTGTGTTCTGTGACTCCCCCAGTCCAAATCAAACCCTGCATGATGACGTGGTAGGGTAAACAGTGCAATATAAATCCCACCAAAGCTTTGAAAACCCTGAAGGAAATAGAGCTGAGTGAACTAGAGAAGCATCCGTCATGGATGGTCATGATGAAGCTTTGGGTCAGTGAAGCAAGGTGATGGACAGGAGTCCCCAGAAAAGGTCACCTCTTGCAAGCAAAACCCCCATGTCCTTGTCTGCCTTTGGCACTATTGCTTGTTGTTTGTGTGCTTTGTGGGAGTAAAATTTATCCATGCTCTGAGGCCAAGAACCAAGTCTCTGCACCACAAGCATCCTGCTGTAATTGTAAGGTTCATATATGCCCTTTGGAGTGCTTATTAGATTCCCATTAGTTTATGCTTCCCCATAATGTTATAAAGTTATAATGTTCCTTATTATTTGAGATGCACTGTTGTTGAAGAATGACAATCCTGGACTAAGATTTCCCTATGCCAAGTAGCATACTACACATAGAGATGGAAAGATGTCTCCCAGAGAGCAATTTCATTTGTGTGCTTTCTGAGGAAAACAAAAATGTAATTTAAGAACAGGAGGGAAATGTGTGGGTGGGCAAATAATGTGCATGTTAGAGTTACGCATAAGGTTAAGAGCCAGAAGTAGCAGAGTGCACCCTGTCCTCCACATATGCAGCTCTCCCTTATGAGGGTTTCGTTTTATTTGCTTTCCATTGCTTCTCCACAGTGTTTAGCTGCTTTTACATTTAAAATTTTATATTTTATATTTTATATTTTGATTTGCAGTTGTTGTACATTTTTTTTTTCCTTCCCCCCCCACCTCCACCTTTGCTTAACTTTTCTGGTGGTTACTGTGAGATCAAGTGTTACCGAGAAGTCAGGTTCCCTTTTCCTTCCCTGTGTTTGGTCTTGGTTTTAATATGACAAACGTGTGCCTCCTCTGGAAATGGTATCCATGCTGCAGAGTAATTATTTAGTGAATGGTGGATCAGTTCATGTTGGCAAGGATCATATTAATCATTATTAATCATGACCCCTCTGACAGTAACCTCATCCTTTGCCTAAATGCTGTTCTTTATTAAGAAGTAAAAGCTATTAGAGAATGGCTGAGCCATTGCTTTC